ACTTCCACTTCGCCGACTCGCCCCAGCGTGGCCGCGGCGGGCGCCGGGGAGGGCGGGGCGCCGGCGGTAACCGTGACGACCGTAACCGTGACGACCGGCCCAGAGGTGGGCGGGGCCGCGGAGGTTTCCGTAGCAACGGGGCCGACCCCGGCGCCTACATCGACGTCGACAACGAGGCGGATTTCCCGCAGCTGGGCAAGTAGGGTCGGAGGTCACAGGTCGTCGCCCCGGTAACTCTCAAGACTAGTCTCCAACTTATTAGCCTCTTCCAGGCTTCGGGAGGTGGCTGGAAAGAGTTGAAATTGGCTAAATAGCGAGATGACATGCCAGGGGAGTTGGTCTGCTAGAAGAGCAAGATACAAAATGCAAGATACAAGATGGCTGTGTTGGTATTCACAGTGTGTAACACTGAATTGAAACCGAATTTACAGTAATCACAGTTAGATAAAAACAGTTGCAATGGTAAAAATATTGTCAATTTTAACAACGGGCACAGTTTGTTATTACAAATGTTATCTCTCTATTTGGCCAATATCTACTCTTTCCAGTCACCTCCCAAAGCCAGGTAGAGGCTATCCAACTATCACCTTCCTCTGATGTTCGTAGACTTAAACCTTAGGCAGCTTTCAAGTCGTCTTGTAAGAAAGGGGGAGGGGGGCGCGAGGTTGCCTTGTACAAAGGATATATAAGAAGTTCTGACCTTGGCAAGAAAATCTCTCTGTGCTACTTAAGAAGCTACGCCATTCCGTGTGACTGTCCAAAGTTGGTGTCGAGGAAAGAAAGAAATTAAAAATGGCAAAAGAAGAAATCACTGGGTGTAGGTAGTTCTTAAAAACAAAAATTTCTCTGGGGGCACGAAATATTGTTCACCCATGATAGAGGGAAGGAGGGAATGATATTTTGAGGATGTTGCGGCTTCAGAGGAAGGTGTTGATGGTTACTAGTTTGTGAGAACGTTCGACGACACAAAGATGTGAAGAGAGCAGTGACTTGGTGGCACTTCTAGATTCGAACCCTGTACCAAGAGAGGAGACAGAAGTACTGTTGTGTAGTTGGCTAGCTTGACGATTTCTGTTTGTACAAAAAAAAAGCGATTGTTGGTTGTGGTGGGAAAAGAAAGAAAAAATAATACAAATCCTGGACTTTTTCTCTTTGTACTTGGAAGAGGGAAAACTCCAGCAAGGCTACACTCTATATATACTACCCAAAGAAATTATCCTAGCTGAAAAATTACACTATTAAGACAAGCATGAAGTGTATAATGATGTATTGTGTATTTGTTGGACAAACTCCGCACCAAGAAGAGAGGATATCCTTACCCTACGGAGATATTTTTGGAATCATGATGAAGAGAAATAACTGTTTTTCGAGGACTGTATTGAAAAAAGCAGAACGGATGTCAAGAAACAGAACCTGAACTTGAAAGAGACTCCTGGAATGTAAACTTACTTGAGTTTATATCACATGCTTTTCTATGAACAATGTATTGTCAACTTATGTCAATAGTATGCTATGCAGTGATGTTTTTTTGTTTCCTCTTTTCTTTTTTGTTTCGTAGTCCACTGGACTTGTTTGAAATCGACTCTACTGGCACTGGAGTCCATATAGACTGCATTGATCGATTGAATGGTCAAATGATGGGAAAAGTATAACTGGTAGCGGTAACATCTACCACAGTACTACTATGACAACCTGTTTTGTTTTATATATTTTTATTTGAAAAGTATTACTACTAGAAGAAAAGAGGATATTTACCGAGTCTGTAGGCAAAAGAAAGAAATCAGGCAGTGGAGACCTTGTATAGAATAGCTCTCTCCCACGTCTCTACCTACTCTGGGGCTAGATTTCCTTAATTTGCTGATGTTACATGTAAAAGTACTTCTTTGAAGCTCAGTTCTGTTCAAGGGCATGTTTTTGTACCACACAACTTTAACCCTCAGAAAACAGAAACCTGCGCAGAGCAAGCAACGTTGTAGATACATTTCTGTGCAGGATATTCGTCCGTTTGTTGTTCGACAAAGGAAAAAAAAATGAGGGAAGCAGCGCTTGCTTTCAAACTGTTGTGCTTGTCCAATCTTACATTTAAAACAGTAGAGACAAGCGATGTGGAACTTACAATAGACTGTACATATATAAGCAGGCAGGCCGTGACAGCATTAACACTCATCTTTCAGGAAAACTCTCACCCCTACCTAACATCCACAGAGCACCCAGGTACAGTTATGAAGTGAGAGTGGGGTTTGAATAACGCCGTTTGTTTGAAAGTTTGGTTGAAAATGTGTACTGGATACCTGGCCATGGTGGAATTTGTTAGCCTGGTAACCAAACCTATTATAGCTCCCGAGTCCTACATCCTCTCTGCAAATAGGTTTGGACCTGAATGGTTGATTCCCAAGGAATTTGCATTTGAATATTCCGCCTGAAAAATGCTGAGAGGATGTAGGACTCGGGTGCTAGAATAGGTTTGGTAACCAGGCTAAGATTTTGTGGCACTTACGTTTAAGTACAACTGAGTCTGGTACACATTCTTGACTATCTTTCACTGCTAAATTGTGTTGTACGAATCTTTCCCAGTTTGACAACACCTCAGAACTGTGCCACGATTTTTGGGTGAAGTGTGTTAGATGGGGTTGGAGACTGTCATCCACACAATGTAACAAGTTCTGGCTGCTACGTGTCGATCGAACATCCTTCCTGCAAAAACGTCCAAGCTTTGTTCTCGAAAACAGACCCCCTCTGTCACACATACCTCTCTCTCAGTGCTCAAATAAAACCGATAAGTTTGAAGCCGAAGTTGTTTTCTCTTGTGTGCAAGTATTTAATTTATAGACTGGTAGGCAAACTAGTACCTGAAGACATTGCAAAGGAGGCTATCACTCGATATGGTCAACTTACATAGACTTGAAAAGTTCAATCTTTATTGACAGAATACGTGCAAGTTGGTATTAGCACAGTTACACATTAGAACATGACAGGCCAGTGCATTACATGTACATTTGGGATTGAGTGTAAATTCAGACAAAGGTTGAAGATTTGAGCTTAGATGTAACTTTTGACTGACAACTTACACCACACATGTATGAGTACAACTCTATACATTGGTATACGTTTATAAAGGCATCAATCACAAGCAAGCTGCAACTTCTTAGAGACAATTGCTTAGGCAACTTGTTCTTGTCTAGATCTGGTATCTTTGTCTCCTACACACTTAAAGTGTTCACCATAGTTGTACACATTTGTATCATCTTAGCATGTTGTGAAATAATACAAAGCAGCAATCAGAACAATCTCACAATGTAACAAAGACATTAGCGCAAATAATAATTCAAAAGCAGGACATATTGAACTATTAATTGTTTCTTTGCATCTCTACATTATTATATAATGGCTCTAGTTTTATATCTTCTGTTCCTGGATCTTTACAATCCGAACAGCATGAGATCTGCCAGCACAAAGGAGCCGAAGAACACAAACCAGCCTGATCTGTACAGGACCTGCGGGGAGAGAAGGAAGTACAGTTGTAAATAGAAATTCTAGAAAGGTAACATTGGTAAGTCAAATGCATATTGTTTATCTTCACATGGTTAAGCACAACAAACTATTGATCTGTTTATTCTTACTCAATGACATTCATATGGTGACCAGTCCCCCAAACTCAATCCTGCAACTTCCTACAGTCTGCCACAGCACCAGTTACCATGGTGACAGACATCTGGCCCAGGTCATTGACCTTATCTGTTTTTTTCCATTAACATCAAAGTTCAACCAGATTAGTGTACAGTTAGAACTGCACATACAGTCAAACCAGTTTGTAGAGACCACACTCTAGTGACAAGAAAATGGTTGTATTAGGCCCTACATGTAGTCACCATAGACTGAACAAAACAAACAGTGTACCTATAAGCACGTCGGCAGAACGTACTGCACCTGCGCAGAACCCTGTATTTTCGCGTTTTTCGTTGGATTTTTGGTCAACGTTGCATCAGAATTTTTCCTGTTGCAGAGGATATTCTTTCCGACACACCATTTGGAAACTACTGTCGAAATGCTAACCTTATATGAGCGAATACAACCTTATATGAGACATTCTGCCGAAATGCTATGTACAATACATTACGGGTTTCGCGCAGGTGCAGTACATTCTGCCGACGTGCTGTACCTTCATGTTGAATCCGTAGCCTGCGTCCCAGGTGAGATGTCGGATGCCATTCATGGCATGGTAAGATATGGGCCAGGCCATGCACCACTTTCCTCCCAGGATCAGCCATGGGTGCAGCTCTAGACTTTTTACCTATACAGAAATAAAGGAACTACAGTTTACAACTGGTAAGATATGGGCCAGGCCTTGCACCACTTTCCTCCCAGGATCAGCCAGGGGTGCAGCTCTAGACTTTTTACCTGTAGAATCATATACAGGGAGTTCAGCCATTTCCTGTATTAGAATAGGAAATGGAGTATTGTTGAACAGAGGAAAGTTTTTAACTGCAAACCCACATAGAAATAAAGACAAATGTAGAGACAAGAATATTTCAAACTCCCGCATACTCACAAAGTTGATGATGGTTGGGAAGTCCCAGCCCAGCAGTGGGTTCACCAGCAGCATCCCCATGGAGAACCCGTACACACCTGCAACATAGGGTGGTGAACACACATGATACCATGGAGGAGGACAACGTATATGTGATTATCAGTTACCATAGAGGAAAAGGGCAAAAAGGGCCCAAGAAGAGAGGAAAAAAGACATCATACCATTATGGTATGGAACAGAAGTGTGATACAACCAGGGGTCAACCTCACATTGCGTCTCTTCATAATGATACACTAGTATACAAGCTCAGTTATGAGCCACACGTTAAAGTTAAACCTAAAAATCTTACCATGACGTTCCTTGAGATTTTATCAATTCCCACACCATATGGTGCACATTGGCAGTGTCTATCTCTTTTTCTGTGGCCCTTTGGCCACACAGGGCCACTACAGTAGAGGACTAGTCCACTGGTAGTCTTAGGTACCATACCATTCAAAATCTCACTCCTTATTTTGTCTCCCTCATCCTCAGTGCACTTTTTCTCTAATTTCTACACATTTCATTTCCCATGCAACCTTACTGTGATCTATGAAACTCTCACTGTTCAGGGCTTTAAGGAGCTCCTCTGAGTCTTAACAAAATCTTAAGAAAAGACATAAGAAGCGTGCTCACAAGCAGCCATGGCAGCGCCTGTCCCGCGGTGTGTGATGGACAGCATGGCCGTCAGCTGGGGTTTGTAGATGGTCAGGTGGGGAGACATCGGGCGCTTCTTCCTGTACAGGCAACAAAAGACAAGAAATGAAAGACATGCCACCAGGGGGCCCAAGATCTACTAGTATTCATTTCTAGGTCTCATCAAGACCTACCCACCTATCCATCCATAGCTTCTTGAGTTATCGTACTAAGCCACGCACATACATACTCACATGCACACACACAAACACTACCAGAAACATAGCCTTCTGAAGAAGGTAACTACGCTACAACAGCTATGATTTCTTTACCCTCCCCCATGTAATCATGGTATGTTCCAAATGTTATATACCAAGTTACACATGATACGTGATAATAATATCATATAACGTTATTTTTCTGCTGTACATAATATTGCTAGCTTTCTTAAAAGTCCTACATTGGTACAAGGAATATCTAAACTTCAAGATTCTGGCTACAACGTCTAAAACATATTTGTATATCTTTAGAAGAAACATGGGAAGACATCTTGAGTAAGAGCACTTTATGACCCCTACAACTTACTGAGCGTTTTTGTCCCAGAATTTCGCCATTTCCTCCTGTGCAGTTGTCGTCATCGGTGCCGCAAGTCTTGAAGACAAGGCTGTGGTCCTTAAGGAGGAAGACAGCAGCCCAAGACGGGAGATCGCCGCAGAATTCCGGACTAAAAGCGACGATAGCGCCATGGTTGTGATGTTTCACCTTGCCAGGGTCCCACTAACCACCGCAACAACACGCAAAAAAATTATATAAGTACAATTTCGCGGATTTGTCCTCAAATATAGAACAAATATTGTATCTTGTCCAAGACAAACAAATTCATGAAAAGTATAGTCAGCCATATGTGTAAATTAACTGTTCATCTGAGTGTAAAAGAATTTCTACCAAATTTTTCAAATCTCGTTTTGCTGCCATGAATTATCCAACTCATTGCGACCTCTAGCGAAAATTTTTATACTGCATGCAGGTTGCTCGACGGCCATGTATTAGCGGCATCTAGCGATTAAATTTTGCAAAATACAATAAAAATAGCTTTGTGGAAACTGTTGCACATTATATCAGTATTCGCTGATTTGTCTCACTCGCTATATTTGTCCAATAAGCCCATTCGAATGTTTTTTTTTCTTCAGATAATCCTTGAATGGTATATTAAAAGATTTAACATTTGCACTAAACTTAATATGAAACTCAGTCTATTGAAGTACATGTACAAGATTATAAACAGGCATAAGTCGCAATACCAATGCTGTCTCTTGAATTTTTCCAAACTTTCCGCTAAAAAATTGTTGACAAGTTTTGTTTGAAGTTTCTTGGTGCCTTGTGGCGTCTGAACTTGACTTACACTTATTTATTGGACTCTTATATCAGTATATGTTCAGGCTTCTTAGAATTTTCCCCGCAACTGAAGAATGCTGGTATCAGCGTAGTCACCACCTTTGTGTGCCGAAAGCAAGAAGGTTATATTTAAACCTCCTTGCTGAATTGTGAAAAGAAGCAATAAAAAGGGGATAGAAGGCACGATTACTTGGTAATTTGCCATTCCAGGGTCCAAAGTCCTTTGACATTTTTATGGTCCTTTTAAAAATCACCTACGCCAATATTGCATTGGCTAGTGTTGGCTATTATTTCAACAATCAAAAGGGTCTCTGTGAGAGCTCAAACCACTCTCGTGTTAGTTTTTTTCAGCTCCGAAGTTGTAACATGGTGGCTACAGTTTGTGTAATTTGATACTCCGAGCCGTGGGAATATATCCGGGCAGACCTAGTAACCTTTGACCCCCAGCCGGCCGGCTACATTCATGAAATCGCGCGGGCAAAACGGAAGCCCGAAGAGAAAGGAACCCAAAAAATCGTCCGACGCAGCGCACAAATTCACAGGTACGCTTTATTCTTTGCCGTAACAAATATCTTTTCCTCAGAATTTAGTTATGAAGGTATAATTCTTAGGAGTGTGAAAATGTCCGGCTTGATAGTTCCTGTGTTAATTGCGTAAGCGTTATCCACGTTGAGTACACGTGTGTTAGTTGACGTAAACTACACTGGCCTAAGCTAAGCGCCCCCCTCCCCCATAGTAACGCCGATTTTTACTTTACCTACGTCAGCGTTTCATTTTTTACGCTATGATTGTGTCAAGGTGGAGTAGCAAAAATGTTTCAGGTATGTAGCTATTATTTTGCTACATTTTTGTGGCGAAAAACGCCCCGTTATGCGATGAGTCATCAGTAAATAGCTTTCGCCGGTTTGAGAATTGAGGGTGTGTTGGGGGTTTGCAAGATATCTTTCTTTACGAAACTGGTTCTCTTCTGGTCTTCTGTGAGTGATTTCTACGATATTTTGTACCATATTATCTTTACAATAACTACTAAATTTGTTATATTCAACAAGGAGTACGAAAACTAAGGAAAAATAGTAAAAATCCAACTATTAGTGACGTTTCAGGATGACCTTATTCACCCTCCAGATTTCGAGGAAACAGCTGTGATTGCATCATAAATATGCAAATGAGCCGGCAACAAAAAGGAAGCCGGACTCCAGCTGATCCCTCGCGCGTGCGCTATGGGGGAAAATATACGAAAGACTATAGGTACAACGCGACAAGCCTTCACCAGGCCATTTCTCACCGTTCCACACCTATTTCTCACCGTTCCACACCCATTTCTCACCGTTCCACACCCATTTCTCACCGTTCCACACCCATTTCTCACCGCTCCACGACACGATTCCAAACGCTCCGCAACCATTTCTCACCGCTCCACGACACGATTCCAAACGCTCCGCAAAAAGTTTCTCACCGCTCCACGACACGATTCCAACCGCTCCGCAACCATTTCTCACCGCGCCGAGGCAAGATTCCACACCCATTTCCCACCGCGCCAAGGCAAGATTCCAACCGTTCCGAAGCAGGATTTCTCCGCGCTCCAGGGCAGAATTTCTCGTCGCTCCGCAGGGCAGAATTTCTCGTCGCTCCAGGGCAGGAAGCCTCCTACCCCAGACTTGTGTACAGTGGACGGTCCCCAATTTTAATCTAAGGGCCCCTTATTTTCCCGAGAAATTTGCGATCGGGATAAATGGCTGTGGCCCCGTGGACTGCAGATGACTAACGTAAATGTGGAGTCTCATACTCCAGTTTCGGTGTCCCATTGGATATAATGGTAAAATACGCAACTTTATGGCTGTAAATCCAACAGAAGAAACAGTCTTTCCGGAGATTATTTTTATTTCTATAGGAAACACGCGCATCATGTAAACAACAACAAAATCATTCCAAAATTTAACCGGGAAGTAGCTTGTTGGGGAGAGGGGTTTTGATACTGTGTAGCATTTGACGTTATATTTCTCGTTGTTGTTGTTTTCGTCGGAGTGG